AGGAAGTTCTGCGCATGCTTAAAAGATTTAATCTGATCCAACGCTTGGTACATGTATACACACGTCATGATCGGATCATTTCATTTAGTGTCCATGTAAACAAAGATTTTGAATTTCCGATCAACCAAGGTTTGGATCGGATCGGGGAAATTTTGCGCATGTAAACGTAGCTACTGAATAAACTCCTTTTGATACCGCCTTAATAGAACCCATTTAGCCGCGCTGCATGGAAGAGCAGCAGAACTTCCCTGCTGTGCTGAAAGGGGCGACGATTTGACGAGATAAACATGGAGGCCGTTACGCAAAGTGTTTATAACATGATAGAAAAAGACATGCTAGCAATTAGCCCTGTAGATTAAGAATCATTTTTTGAATTAATGCAATTTATTATTTCACATATTTTCTTCATATTTTTTATCTTATAAATGAGTTTCATAATGCAGAAGAAAAAACGCAAAAGCGGGAAGAAAAACGAACATGGCGGAAGACAATGCGGAGAACATTCTCTATTTTCAAGCATCTTGAAATGATTGTGTTGTTAATGCATTGACTGAGGTTTAAAACGACATAAAAAATTGTAAGATGCGCTCCAGCGCTGCCAGTGTGGGTCCTTAGGCACTTGGGTCCGAGTGGTTAGCCTCTGAGTTCAATGCCCACACCCACGGACTGCCCCTCTGCTCCCTAAACAAGACCCTTAACGCCCGATTGCTCCCCGGGCGCTGCACAATGGCAGTATACTACTCCCTAAGGGGATGGGTTAAATGCAGAGAGGGAATTTCGTTGCTGTGTACTTGTGTAATGACAATAAAAAGCTGGAAGAACAACCACGCAGAAGTTCACAAAAAAATCGGAATTGAGCATTAAGGCTTGACAGGTGAATGTAGCGACAGAATTTGCAGATCCTTCAGTCTAATAGAACTACATTTAAAGTGTTTAGGCGTCATGAGCCAGAGAGCAGCGTCCCAGCTTTGAAGTGAAAAGCTCACAGCATCATGTTCTGTAGAAGTTGGCTACAGGAAGGACTGGAGCGCTTCATAGATCATAAGGAACTAAGGTTCAATATTCAGGGTTTCCCCAGGAAAACGGTCTAATGGTAGGTGCCTCTAAAGTAGCCCATCAGGGGTTAGTTTAAAAAATATTAAAAGTAGACTTTTCAAAATATGGATATTCAATAGTGTGTTATTCCTTCTGTCCGTCCGTCCATCTGTCCGTCCGTCCACTTATCAGGGGTCGGTTCACGGGGGTAGCAGCTTCAGTAAGGAGGCCCAGACTTCCCTCTCCCCAGCCACTTGGGCCAGCTCCTCTGGGGGAACCCCAAGGCGTTCCCAGGCCAGCAGAGAAACATAGTCCCTCCAGCATGTCCTGGTTCTCCCCCTGGGACTCCTCCTGGTGGGACGTGCCTGGAACACCTCACCAGGGTGACGTCCAGGAAGCATCCTAACCAGATGCCTGAGCCAACTGGCTCCTCTCGACGTGTAGGAGCGGTGTTATTATAATATCTTATTGACAATACAATAGAGTCCTGAAATAAGCATACTTCGAAAATACTGCTTTAAATAACCAAAAAAATTCAGATAAAGTGCATCTAATTTTTACACTAAATTGATTTAGTGCATTTAATATTGTTAATATTTCCATATAGCTCAAAACATGCTTACCAAACTCCATCTACTGCATTTAGGGTCATTTAACCACTTTGAGTTAAATGTTTAGAATTGCAGATTAAAGATGGATGCTCTAAAGACGTCTTAGCAACAATGCTAGCTGTTTGAGCAGCGGCTCGGCTAACGTTAATGAGCTCCACTCCGGGGCGGTTCACTCTGCTTGGTCACCCAGTAGACCAGTGAGCTCCAGGTCTCCTCCGCTGCTCCTTTGACTACTTCCTGGCCGTGTCATGTGACCAACTTCTTTATTATTTGATGAAGTTGGTGTCAACGGATCGAAAACAAGCAACACGTTGATGGTGAACCTTTTTACTCCCCATGTGTTACAAATCGACCAAAAAGTGTCCCCATCGTGCTTTTAACGGTTTAACCTTTTCTTTCTCTGTTACTGGTGCATAAAAACGTCTTTAAAACATAGAAATGAATATCTCTTAGCCTGACAGGGGGATGGGCGGGGCATCGAGGCAACATCTCAGCCAGGATGCAGTAAAGCAAATGAGGCCTTCAAATGGCGAGGGAAGCAAAGCGGCTCTTTGTCCGTATTTTAGAGCGGTCGTCACAGAGCCCTGATCTCACTCCCAGGGATTTGTTGGCCAAAGCTGAAAAGATGGCCGTGAGAAAGCAAGGAGGCTAAAACTGACCCAGTTACACCAGTAAAGGACCAGAGAACTGTTGGCAGAAGCTTGTAGGAAGAAAGATCTGACCAAAGTGATGCATTGCATGAAAACATGCTTCATTAGGGAACACCAAGCAATGTTTATATTCTAAACGCTTTCCCCGGTCATCTAATAAAAATCATCCTGGTTTCAGAACGGCCAGACTCCCCTGATGGTGGCGGCGGAGCTGGGCAATCTGGAGATCGTACAGGAACTGATCCGGAGAGGAGCCACCGTCAACATGGACGACGTTGTAAGCATGAAAGCACATGCGACATTCTAGCGTTTCTAGCGCATGGTGGCGTAAGAAGGAGCGAAAAACAAATGTTCTCACAGCGACCACATCACTGTACTTAGAACAAAACATAAAAAAAACGAGTAGTGGCTTTGATGCTGGATGCTGATGATGTCAGCCCAGTCCGAGTTCAGTCCTCGGTTATTATGAGCCATCATGAGGCATAATGACACCTCATTACAGGTGAACTCTTTTGAGTAAATGACAGGATCCCTTCTGCAGGCGACACCCTGCTTCTTTAGGGGCCAGCCCATTTACACACACACCAACTCACTCATTTGTTCTCCCTCCCTCTTTAGCACACGCACTCATATCCTCACACACCTCTTATTACCATCCACTGACCTGTAACCTGCTATTACACCTGGCATATTTGAGCTCGGGCTTACGCCTGCTGTAGGAGACAGGAGAAAGGTTAGATCCTCTGCTCACTGCTCTGTTGACATTACCGCCTGACTCTGTTCAGCATCAATGCGACACCGGATTCCCATGAGCACCTGGTATGATCAGCTGGTAGGTCTCAGTTGTTGGATCGCCAGGAGTCCGGCGTGGCGTTCCGGCGGATTCGTTGTGTCTTATGGGAATCCTCAGAGTAACGTTTTGATGTGCAGGACTGCTGGACGGCTCTGATCTCCGCCGCTAAGGAGGGACACTTCGAGGTGGTGAGGGAACTCCTGGAGAACAATGCCAACCTGGAGCACAGGGACATGGTGAGAAGAAACAACTAATCTTTAAATCTATTGACTTCTGTTATTTATGTTTTAAAAAAAAACAACATAAGGTCAGTTTACACTAAACTACATCAATGTGAATAGATTGGTCTATTTATCTATGAAACATCCATCAGAAAAAAACTTAATTTCCTTCAAATTAACAGACCTAAAATCTGATATTTGATGTGTATAAACATTTCTAATATAATAAAATCAGGCCTTTACTACTAATCACCTTAAATAGTTATATATAATAGTTTGTATGGATGTATATTTATGCTGTTTTTCAGTAGAAAACAGTAAACATACAGAAAAACAATGACTAGATAATAAAAAGAATAATTAACTGAGAGAATGTCAGATAACAAACTTATGTCAATAATGTTTAGATCAGTCAAAGGCTGTTTTAAAAAATATATATTTAATCTGAATTTAAAACAACTTTCAGCTCTTTTCAGTTTCCTGGGTTTTTATTCTAGTTAAGAACTAAAAGGTGCTTCTCCATGTTTGGTTCTGGTTCTGGGAATGAAAAGTAGATCAGAGCCAGAAAACCACAGTGGTCTGGGTGGGTTTGGAAAGTTAACCTTTATTTCACTAGGAAGAGTCTTATTGAGGTTAAGAAGGGATTCCTATCAATGAAAAGCTTAGGAAATTATCAAAATATGTGTCAAACATGAACAGTTATTGCACTTATATCTCATCAAGTCGATCAGAGTTTTCAATGACTGGTTTGCAGAAGTTCTTGCAGGAGTTTGTTTTCCTCTAATTTTTGGCTGATCGGTCAATCATAAGCAGACTTCAGGAACTACTTAATATCTGCTGCATTTTCTTTTGTCTTTACACTGGAAAAACAATCTCGAAATGTGTAAAATTTTCTTAAATTAAGTGTATTTAGTAGGTAAATGAGATGAGTTTGCCAATGGAATGATTTATACTCTTAAAATAAGATAATTAGATAATATACACTTCAGTTTATTTATATAGCGCAAATTCACAACATGTCATCTCAAGGCACAAATACTTGTAATTGTAGACAATGCAATTGTGTTTTCTTATTTTAAGTGTAAATTGTCTTGTTCCATTGGCAAGATGTCTCTTTTATCTCCTCAAATCCAAGGACAAATGCACTTATTTTGAGAAAAAATGACTTCTCTAAATTTAGTTTTTTTTCCAGTGTAAAACATCCCTGGTACACTGCAAAAATTAAAATATAAATAAGTCGTTTTTTCTTGAAATAAGTGTTTTGTTTGAAATGAGGAGGTTATTAAGACACTTTGCCAATATGGAACAAGACAATTTACATTTAAAATAAGAAAATACTGCAATAAAACACAAGTACAAAGAAAATACTGATTAAAAATACTCATTCCATTGTCAAATCATTATTATCTTATTTATGTTCTCAGATTGAGGGTTAATACATCTAATTTAAGAGATTTTTCCTTATTTTGAAATTTTGCAGTGTAAAGCATTGGTGTGGTTTAATAAATATGAGCATATATAAGTGTAGGGAATAGGTATTTAAAATCCATTCTGGGCTTTAGTATAAAAAAAATCATATATTTAGACATTATGTGTAGTTTAAAATTGATGTAAACTCTGATATGTTCCTATTTTTCTAATGTAACTCATATTGTTCCCTATTCTAGTCAACGTGGCGCCTCAGTTATGGCTGAACAACATAATCCAGTTGCTCTAAAATGGACATGAAATCTAATTAGTTTCTGTGTGCTGGCTCCTCTCTAATGAAAAATCAATCCAGTTAAATCTGCTTTTCTTGGCATTATTCGGTTATGATATTTATTCCTGAGATAAGGAACCCCAGAAAGTCTGAGCTTCCTTAACTGTACCAGAAATTATCTAATGATCTTTTCTAGGGTTAAATACTGGAAAAACAATCCAGTTTTAAAAGCCTCTGAGCTTTTTTTATTTAATGGCATCAGGAAAAACATCCTGACCTGCACGAGGTCGGGATGCGTTGAGCCGTCCAGGAGAAGTCCCAGCCGTTGATCGCAGCTGGATTAAAATAAACCACATTGTGTTTATGCAGCTTAGTCACTGGAAAGTGTGTCACTCCTTCCAGAAATAACCCACGTTCCTGCGACAAATCTGCCTAGATTTGGCAGAAATGTGATGTGTTTTAACTCCATACGACGGGAATAAGCTTTAATCCTGTAATTCTTTAATTTGCTGTTGATCTTCTTGCTCAGGGAGGGTGGACTGCGCTCATGTGGGCCGCCTATAAAGGCCGGACGGAGGTGGCCCAGCTGCTTCTGGAGAAAGGAGCTAATCCCAACATCACTGGACAGGTACTGAAGCTGAACCCAGGGTCTCAGAGCTTATTGGTCAAAAGCTTAAAACATTCATATACCTTCAACGTTTCCTTTACTTAGGTTTTTTTTTTTTTGTGAGTTTTTGAAGCACTAATTGAAAGTAGTGCATTAATAGTCAACACTGCAAACATTACTGCTAGCTGACTTTTGGCCAACATGCACCGTCGTACATTAATCTGCCTGAAAAGGCAGGTAAAGTGTTTCTAATCTGATGGTTAGTTCCTGTCAGACTGACCTCGTCTCTTTACTATGGCCCAACAGTACAGCGTCTACCCCATCATCTGGGCGGCTGGCCGTGGCCACGCTGAGATTGTCCATCTCCTGCTGCAGCATGGAGCCAAAGTCAACTGCTCTGACAAGGTGCCTCCTCCCTCTCTGATGTTTATCACCTGGTTTCAGACCTGCAGAGTGCAGAGATAACCATTTTAGTTGGACTCTTATCTCTTTCCTTTCCGTGCTCTCTTCCTTTCTTTTTTCTAACCACTAAATGTTAATGGAACAAAGTGATTCTCTTTGCAGTACGGTACCACGCCTCTGATCTGGGCTGCCAGGAAGAACCACTATGACAGCGTAATGCACCTTTTGGAGAACGGAGCTGATGTGGATCAGGAAGGAGCAGTAAGTGGTTTGGATTCCAACGCCACCATGTTGTTTTTAACTAATTAGTGTTAAGTTCTAGTTCTAGTTAAGTTTTAGTTGAAGAAATCATAAAAAGGTTGAATTAGTAATCAGTGAGTTCCTTACAACCGAGTATTAGGCCCAGGCTAGACATTTTTTATTTTTACTCTTTTATTTTGAGAATAAAGTTGTAACATTACCAGAATAAAGTTGTAATATTACGAGAATGAAGTCATCATAGCACAACCCATTTCAGAAAGAAAACTTCAAGTTCCAACCAGCATCACTAATCAGCAACCTGAGTCCACTTTGACATCCTGCCCAGTTTGATGCTGCTGCTGAAATATTTCCTTATTTGCCAAACTAGAGCCAAAGTATAACTTCACATGATGCTCCACATTCCTCATTTTAGGGAAGACAGGGCTTAGAATTGTCATAAAATCAAACAATATTCCTGTAATTTTAGGACTATATTCTCATATTACGACTTTATTTTCATAATTTTATGAATTTTTTTCGTCGTGACTTTTTTCTCGTTATATTATGACGTTATACTGTAATTTTACGACTTTATGCCCATAATATTTGCAACTTTATTCTTGTAATTTTATGACTATTCTCGTTGTGACTTTTTTCTCGTAATATTTCTCGTAATTTACGATTTTATTCTCGTTATTTTATGACTTTATTCTCTTAATATTACAACTTTATTCTCGTAATTTTATGACAATTGTCGTTATGACTTTATTCTCGTAATGTTACGACTTTATTCTCTGAATTTTTGACTTTACTCTGGTAATTTTATGACTCTTGTCGTTGTGACTTTATTCTCGTAATGTTACGAGTTTATTCGCGTAATTTTATGACTTTATTCTCGTAATTTTATGACTATTGTCGTTTTGACTTTATTTTCGTAATGTTACGACTTTATTCTCATAATTTTATGACTATTTTCGTTGCGATTTTATTCTCGAAATTTGATGGCTTTATTCTCGTAATGTTACGTCTTTTATCTCAAAATAGAAAAAAAAAATCTCTAGCCTGGCCCTAATACTCTGACTTTACTCCTGGTTCATTAAAGTATAAATATGAAATAACAGGTGGGCCCTTTTCTGTCAGCAAATGTTAAAAATAAGAAGCCAAGGGAACATAGAGCTAAAGTATTGCAGCTGAGTGGTAATGTTAGGTCTGGGCAATAAATCAATATCTATATATATATCGAGGTATAAACCTGATCATTATCAACAAAGAATACAGATTTAGAGTCGATCAGATCAATTTATTTGCTTTTAGTAAAAGATTTTTTTTCAGCCATTACCTGAATTAGATAACCGTGCAAAGATGCAACAGATCGATGCCAGTTCTATATCCACATTAAACAGCTAATTAATAATATAATGACCAAGTTAATGGTGGCTGTTTGGAGGGTGGAAAATGTATCTATGATGATGCTGATGAAGGTTCTATCTATGATGATATGTATCAATCTTTTTTTTAATAAACAAAAGAAGTAGCCTTGTGATACAGTTGGAAAGAAAAAAATATGCATAAATGTACATAAATGCTAACATAAAAGTAGTCGTTGACTAGCATAAATAAATCATAATCTAATCGTTGAGAAACAAATGAGGAATTTATGCATCAAGAAGGAGAAAAAAATGCAATGTGGAGTTGAATAATTTATTTATTTTGTGTATAAACAGTTTGTAACTAAGTAGTATTGACATTGAAAATGATAATTGGTTATAACAATGATATTATTAATAAGAACCATAAGCATTTTTTTAAGGAAAGTAGTCTGGATATTGATAATGTAATAACAATTTTAGGGATTATTATGACAATGGTGATGATTATGATAATGTTTATAGTGAAAATTATAATGACAATTATATGAATTATTATGTTGAAAGTAACAGTAATATTATTAATAATTATAATCTTGGTTCTCTATTGCAGCTCCCAAGGACCTCAGATAAACAATATATGTTTAAATCTTTAAGTAAAGCTGAATAATTAATTGGATTAATTGATTATAAAAATAATCCTCAACTAATTTAGTAATCAATTAATCATAAATTGGAGTATAGAGACTCTAAAACATGCCTTTAGCTGACAGAGCGACCCACTTAGAGCAGGAATTATACCAAAATGGTAACAAAAATATATAGAAATTTTGCATTTAAGATAAAAAGATGTTTTAATCTGTCAATAGGCTCTATCTAGAACTCCTCAATCGGAAAAGTTTTAGTTTCACCTGGTTTAATTTAGTAAAAAATCTTCAAGAAATCTTTGGCTATCTGATTATTGATCGATTAATAAAAAAAAGTAACCTACAGGTTAATCGATTTGCAAAATAATCGTTAGTTGCAGCTCTAATCCTTAAATACTTATAATGAGAATCAATCAACATTGGAGAAGACGTTTTATTTCACATGGTTAATGTTTAATATCAGGAAAGATCTACAGTTAGACTAATAATTAAATATGGAGGAAAAAAAACTTTTTCTCAACCAGCATGTGTCAAAAGTTTGGTTTCTCTTCCAAAAGCAGGATTTCTTGTTGGCTTTATGAACTTCATGAAACAAAAGCACCTTTAACATTTTTTGTTATTTCAACTTTAGATAATGTGGAATCACAGTCTTGTGCTTAAAGTTGGCAGTTATATAATATTAAACTATGCAAACATTTTTTAATCAACATTGTTTAATATTTAATCATTACGATGCACAGAAGCTGCTGCTTTTACAAACCAGAATATGAACCTATTCTGTCTCTAATTTGTGACTCAGTTAAAAAGATGGGAAACAATCATCATGTTCTTTAACTGTTTTGAAGCTTTTAAATAATTCAGTTAATTAAGGTTTATCAAACCTAAATAAAGGCGTCTGAGTTCATCTTTACGGTGACATAATGTCGGCTTTCCTTCCTGTTGTGTCACTAATCAGACGGAATAAACAATCGGAGGTTAAATCTCTCTTTTAGAACAACTGGGATGAATCTGAAACCCTTGAAAAGTCTGGAATGTTTAGAGGAAAAGACGCTGCAGACTTTATAAATCCCCTCCTTTCTTCCAGAACTCCATGACGGCTCTGATCGTGGCGGTGAAAGGAGGCCACACAGACGTGGTCAAAGAGCTGCTAAAGAGGAACCCTAACGTGAACATGACTGACAAGGACGGCAACACCGCGCTCGCCATCGCTGCCAAGGAGGGCCACACCGAGATCGTGCAGGACTTGCTGGATGCCGGGACCTACGTCAACATCCCAGACCGGGTGAGACGCTGCGGATCCTTCTCTCCGGGCAGCCGGGGGCCCCGGACGGAAGGGATGATTAATTATGGGTGTCCTGTTTCTCTCAGAGCGGAGAGACGGTGCTGATTGGAGCGGTGAGAGGAGGCCATGTGGAGATAGTTCGAGCTCTGCTGAACAAATACGCTGATGTTGACGTCAGGGGCCAGGTAGGGGCCCCTTCTCTTGTTCCCTCGCTTCCTGAGTTCTCTGTGTGAGATGTAACTCTGTCTGTTATATTGTTTACCTTTTGAACTTTCTTCCCTGGAGCAGAGTTGTACAAATAACATACTTTACCCCCAATACAAAAAGATAATACAACATGCAGTGACCTCCTTTGCATGTAACATTCTATTATAATTATTTATCTCAAAAATGTGTCTTTATTTGCTTTCCCTCCAGGATGGAAAGACTGCCCTCTACTGGGCAGTGGAGAAAGGCAATGCTGCCATGGTGAGGGACATCCTGCAGTGTAATCCTGATACAGAAAGCTGCACCAAGGTAAACAGTCTCTCTAAAGGAACCAGTGACATCATTGTTTCTCCTTCTTCTCTTCTTCCTCAAGTTTTTCCTATTTCCTATAAACCTGCTGTTTTTTTCTTCATAAATATTAAAAGAAAATCATCCTAGAGTACAATCCTATTAAGTTATATATGTTATATTTTTTCAGAAAAAAGAAAACTTTTTTTCCCCCAGTTAATGCCCCTATTACCGTATTTTCCCGACCATAAGGCGCACCGTACTGAAAGGCGCAGTCATGTGTGCCATTACTGTATTTAACACACACATAAGGTGCACCTGATTATAGGGTGCAGGTTTTCTATACAGGTACATGCCCTCTACTACGTTTAAATACCTCTACTGCGTATTTAAATATAGAGTGGGAGCAAAACTGAGTATTATTGTGCTT